TTCCTTGCCACCACACCTTCATATGAAAGAGAAGGAGGTTGGCTTGTGTTGCTGCAGGAGTGCCTGCATGTGTGCCATCATCGAAGAGCAGTTGGTATGTGGTAACTTAACGTAGTGGGCTGAGAGGAGGATAGATCTGGTACAGACTCCAACACTTCTCTCAGTCCTTTGAACTATTCACACCAAGGGCTGGCAAACCTTGAAATTCCTGAAGAGAAGTGACAAGTGTTGATGTAAAGCTGTGTCAAAGCAAAACAGTTTTAATAGTTGATTTTTTTGGCAGATCTTTGAGTGTATGAACATAACTTGTTCTGTCTTTGCTATGAGTTCATCAACGTTTTTGCTCTATAATCCACTTTGTGATCTGTGTGTAACTACAGCAGATTAGCAGAATTGCTGAAACTTGGCTTGACACTGATCCAGTTGTTATTCTAAAGGAAAACAAATAGTTATATCTTGAAAGCAAAAGAAAATACAGGATTGTGAACAACATAAGCAACCTTTTTCAGGGAAGAAAACTGGAAGTGTGTAGTGTTACTTTTTAGGAGAGTAGTTAGTGGAGCTGCTTTGGCTATCAGTTTTTTCCTATGTTTTAGTGTGAATTTTGCATTGCAGTGGTCATTTTATGCAGAATGTGTAAAAACATTTCCCAGGTGGATGTTAAGCTGTTGCTTGGAGGAGTGAGCCCAAGACCTGTACAGTGGACCTGTTCTGTGCGAAGCCACTCTGAACTCTGACTTTGAAGAAGATGTAGTACTATTTTGGGGGACTGTAGTAAGAAAAAACTAGGAAGTTAGGCTTAAGAGAATTGTATGGCAGCTTGGACAAAGGCTTCCTCAGTGCATTTATACTGTGCTATGCATGCCATGTGCTTCAGAGTCTCATTTAAAAACTGTTTGCAGTGTTATTTCATTATTTTTTATGGAGCTTACACACAAGTGAACTGTTGCTGAAGAAGTATGTTTCCACTACTGAGAATATTCTTGCCAGTACCACTGAAGCTCATATAAGCATGCGAACAAACAAAAAAACCTCAACTATGTTGACTCTGCTATAGAAGAGGGGAAAAAATGCAAGCAGTCAGTAGTAAGGCAATCCATAGGAATTGTTAAAAAAAGTTACAGTGTCTTTAATTTAAAATCTCAAAATGGAGATTACATCCATTGTAGTTTGCAGTTTTGTGTAACTCGTTATTTCAAAAGATGCACTTGTATACCCTTTCATATGGATTTTTGCTTTGTTACAGTTCAGAAATTTATTTGTACAAATTAAATGAGCTCTAATTCTTTCATACCACGTTAAAAATTCATCTGAGTTGGTGGCACATACACTTTTTCTTGTTTTTAATGTACTTTGTCAGAAGTTGGTTACTTTTAATTGCACATGGTGGGATATACTTGATCTCTTGATGAGTGCGTGCCTTGCCTGTATCGTATTTGATGGTAAATTGGTTTAGTGCTGATCACTTTGTTTAAACTGAAACTCAACAATTGTGGTCTTGTAAGAGGGAGGATTTGGCAGATCTGTGCTTTTCTTTATCAAACTGGAAACTGAGAATGCTGATAGAAATTCAGTGAGACTGAAGCACGGTCCCATGGACAGCAAGATATCCCCAAGCACCAGTGAGCTCTTGCTGCTTTATGAGGCACCGACTACTGCTCTTGCTGTCCTGGAACCGTTTCTTCCCTGAATGGCAGAGTTTTCCTGTTCCCAGCCTCGCAGGAACCACCTTGTGTTGTAGTCGCAGTGTAGCTCAATCCCATCTTTGGCAGCTGTGTCACAGGTCATTGGCTTTTGGCTTAGAGAACTGAATTGTAAGCAGATTTGAGAGCAATACTTGCGTGTACCAGAGGTAATCAAAACAGTGCTCGTGGTCTTTCCTTACGAAGGGGGGGAGGGGGGGGGAGAGTAGTACATTTAGAGAACAGCTTTTTCTGTCAGTACCCCAGAACTGACCTTACTCCAGAGAATTTGTGAACCTTAAGACCCAAGGTAAAAAGAGGGCAGGGAGTACTGGACTAACTTTGTAAGCATACATTTAAGTGCATGTACAGGCTTGAAATAATTTCCAAAAGTTAGACATGCATTCTCTGTTGGTTTGACAATAGATACTAACATTTTACTAATACCGTACAGCCTATATATACATGGAATTCTGAATTTAGTATTGGCAGTAGCTTTCCAAACTTTATCAGAAAGAGACCCTTATTTGATGTTGGATTTTCTGGGTATTGCCATCAACTCAAGCACAAATTCTTATTGAGGGTGGGTGGATATAATGTAAGGTTATGCAGACATTGCTGCCTGTAAAAGATGTGTTGCTGTCTGCTAATTCTTTGACACAGCCATAGTGTTTCAGTTGTTGCTTTGTTTTTGGTTTTTTTTGTTGTGTGGTTGTTGGGTTTTTTTTAAGAAAAGAAAAAAAAAAAAGGCTATGGTTACCTTTTAACCCTTTCTTCTATCCAGTTTTCAGATTTTTAACCTGAAACTTCTCACTTGCTACCTGAAATCCCCCACTATGGACTTTTCTTGCAGTGGTCTTTGTCAGATGCCCTGGAGAATTTGCAGTGATCCCCTAACAATGTCTAATGTGTAATAGTGTTAGTCTGGCAAGTGAATTTTAGATTAATGTAAATCATAAAAGCAGCAGTCCTTTAGCTGCCTTTCCTGGAAGTGTTCATTTATTGAAGCAAATAAAGTATTTTTGGACACACTTTCTAGGGACATAGTAGACTCATTGCTTGTCTGATTGACAAAAGTGTATATCCCTGCTTTTAGGACTTTCCTTGTAACAGAAAACCTAGAGATATCCATACTATGCTTTATCAAAGACCTCTCTTTTAAATCATCTATATATTCTCACTCTCCAATACCTGAAGAACAGCTTTGAGAAAACGCAATAGTATTTTAGCAGCAGCTATGACTTAATTTTTTTTTTTTCAACTTAACCTGGAGGATACTAGTGACAAAATTAACCTTCACACTTCTAAAGTCAATGTGATAGAAATGTAACGAACTGTTACTTGTACTTTCCTTCTTTTGCTGAAAATAGTAATTTTCCTAATGCAGTATTTAACTAAGTTATTCAAGAAAATGCATATCAAAAAGTCTGTGAACTCTGCATTTTGCAAAATTTGCATTTGGCACAATTCTGCAGTTGCCTAGGATAAAACTTCAGCTTTCCATTTTGTTGCATATGTACTTTTAGTATTCTTATTTCCTACCCTTGAACAATTCACGTCATTAGGAACACTGTTCTAACAAAACTTGTGTTGCATAAAAGCAAAAAGTAATAGTCACCTGCTTTAAAAAAGAAGCTATCATACCAAAGTTTTCTAATTTTAGTATGAAATTTCACAAAAGGAATAGCAGTAATAAAATATCATAAAAGCGGTGAGTTTAGATAGTAAAACTACGTAAAGGTAAAGGTACATTTTGTTAAAGAATTCGTGTCCTTAATCATAGTCATTGTTCAAACAAAATTATTATGGCAGTTAACATGAGTAAGTTCAGAGGACAGATCTTAAACTGCTAAATATGCATATGATTGGCTTTAAATTTATATTTGTATTCATAAAGGTTCTAATATTAACATTAAAAGGACTAAATAAACTGAATTAATGCAGCACCCTTAATTTGAATTGAAATTTTGTAACGTGCAAAGCACTTAAGGAAACTTGCTATTTTTGGCAGGAAGTTAGACATTTCTACCTTTCCTGTATGTATCCCTATAACTGTATATAAAAAGTAGTCAGTGTGTGGCTTTAGCCATAACTGCTAATGAAAAGAATGGTTGGAAGGATTGGAAAGAAGTTAGGCCTATTAATTTATAATCAGCGGTAAGAGGAACTAGCTGATAACTGGTTTCCTTCACCAGCTAAAAGAATTGTGGTTAATTATACAGGCAGTATTGTGCATGTAGTAATCAACAGAGTATTTGGAAACCTCAGTCTTTTGAACATTTTGTAATTTGTAGTTTCCAACAGGGAAGATGATCCAGTTTTCAGCGGGAGAGTAAGTTCTTGATATGAAATGTACAACTTGTGTATTAAAGTACTTCTCAGAAATAAATGCTTTTTTGCATATTTGTTAGTGTATTCCATATGTCTGCCATGAGTGCTTCTTGCAATATTAGCATCTTCTGTAGAGTAATACTCACTTCTAAGTCACATGGTGCAACCTGTGTGTGTAAATGTGCTTCTGAGGGTCAATCTCCAGCCTTTTAAAGTGGTAGTACTGTTTGTACTGATTTATAAGGTATGGTGATTTGATGTCAGGACACTACCTCTTCAGTTAAACCAAGATCTGTACATTTTTACTGAAGATGTGACTAGTCAGATTTTTATTCCATGCTAAATTGGTTAGTGTTGAGTTATAGATGGAGTTGGAATTTCTACTACAGAAGGACAAATGACAGTCTATTCACTATCTATATATTGTAACATATAAAAATGCAGCTATGTAATGCAGCTGAGCTAGTGTCTTCACTGATTTTTTTTTTTTTTTTTGCTAGTTGCAAACTTTGATCTTGTACTTACACAAATATAAGGTGTGAAGCAGAATAGTTTGCAGTAGTTACAGAACTACCTGTTTGATGATGTGAATTTAAATGTAATGGTAGGACAGCTTACAGTCAGTTTATAACTGAGTGAAAGAACAAGTTTTGATCAAGAAGTCACCTACACTAGTATCCCAACCTGGCTGTGCTGGCAGCAGTGCTTAGGAGAAAGCAGGAAAGTGCTTTTCCTATTCCCTAAGGTCAGTTTAGAAAGCTGAGTGCCAAATATACACAGTCTTGCTGCAGCCATAGCCTTCACATAAAGATTGAAGACTCCGCCAGTGCCACAACTTTTCTCAAGATAGTATTCCTATCTTCCATTGCATTCTCCAGAGTAAAAGTAAGTAGAAAACTGTCACAAATAAAAGGTACACTCAACATTGATCTTATTGTTACAGACAGATGTTTTTAAACAGTTTATTCAATTTTAGTATTTGCTCAGTAAAAAAAAAAATAAAAATGAGCCAAAACATAAGCTTTGAATTAGTCTGCAGGCCCAGCAATACTCAAGGAATACAGTACAGATGAACTGATAGTGTACCTTTGGTTGTTACCTCTTGACTTCCTAGAAAGTGAATCTACTGCTTTGTTCCATAATAAAACTAGAGTAGTTACAGGTACAGCTGCAAACTATGGCTTGGTACTTGTTTCTTGCGCTGCAAGTTGAGTATAGGGAGGTTCTGGCAAATAACATGCCTTGGAACTTGCTCTAGAGTTAGCTTCAGCTGTTAGGCACGGATGGGTTTTGCAGGCACATATAACTTGTAATGAGACGGGCTAGCTTTTTACTCCTTAGTAGATACTTCTGTAGTTGTCAGATGTATTTCTGCAGAAGAAAGAAACAGAGTTTAAGTCTTACTATATCATCAGTAACTGTTGTACAAATAATTTTATATGCACTGATAGGTTGTAACTGAAACTAATGCAGAAATACTTGTCCTATAGTAGTAATGCAATAGTGAGCTTTACCAAAGATAGTCCAATTTCTCCCTTGTCCACTATGCCACTGTACCGGTTGCTGGATTTGTATTTCCCAGATCTCAGTAGTCTCATACCTTTGATCCTGTCTCTGGTCTACTCAGTAACTATTGCTTGTTTCTTCCAGTACATGTTGCTGCTTTCTAACCTTTGCCTGTTTTTCCTTTACATAGAAAAGGAGTCAGACCAGGTGCTACTCATTTGAGGGGGACAATTACTATTACGTTAACAGAGATGTAATGTTGAATTTTATTGGACCTGCAGTTCTGATGTTCAAGCTGTTGAGCACCTAACAGAATCGTGCATTTCTCTGGATAATGTATTGGAGATGAGGAAACCCACAGATAAAAGTGCTATGCTGGTTTATGCAAGACAGTATCAACCAGCTATGAACAACTATACTTTAAGACTGCTTTCTAGAGATTGGTTGAATAGATTAGAGGGCAGGTTTGAATACACTTAGGTATCAAGTTTTAATGCCAAAGGCCATGATATACCAAAACAAAAAGCAGCTTAGTTAGTAGTGGTGGCAGTGCAGGAGTGTAAAGGGAACGACTACACATGTTGCAAGTTTAACAAAGCCTTTAGCACAACTTGATTTATTTTAAATAGAAAGGAATTAAGATAATTACAAAGACGACATCTCATATGGTCTTGTCATACCTCTGGCCTTCACTTCAACTCCCTCTGAAGTCTTAGCCTTCAGAGAGGAGGGGTTTTTTTGTATTGGGGTTGTTTGGGGTTTTTTGAGAGCTATTTATAAGTAGTCAATTTTTCTTCTCTCAAAGATGCATTGCCAGAACAAGAAGGAAGATTACAAACTAGTTATAGCACTCTTCCATTCAAGAGATACCAGAAAGGTGTAAGTTAGTAACAGGCATATGAAAGAATTTAGCTATTGAAACAACAAATTTGACCTAACATAATGAGTGACCTTTGAAAAAAAAATTTTTCTTTTCTTTTTCAGGAGCATACAACCAGTCTGTACTGGGACACGAAACTGTCCATCCTTAATAGTCCCACGGTGCCAACTCTTCTGTTCATGGGTAGTTTGTTTCCAGGTAGGTGTCCTCTTCAAACTTCCTCAGAGCTGAGCAGTAGCAAAGACTGTAATGTTAAAAGAACTTGAACAGAACTAGTAACTCCAACCTGGAACACTACCTAACAGTGAAGAGCTGCACACTGAGTTAACTCAAATTCCCTTAGGATACAGGGCATTTTAGAAGGCTTCTCTTCCATTTCCGAGGGAGGAGTTGTATTAGATCCATGACAACAGTACTGTCTTACTTTAGCCATGCAGGTAGCAGTTGTGTTACTGTTGGGAGAATACCCTGTTAGACCCTGGAGGCCCACGTGCTCAAACTTAAGTTGCCATTCTACTTCCAGAGTTGGGTGACAGGTTTGGAAAAAGTGCAGTTTAAGATCTCCGTTTCAGTCCATCTGAGGGTTGCCTTGCATTTCTAAGGTCTTAGCCTTCTAATAAGGCCAATACCTATTACGTTTCTCATCTGCTACAACCTCCTGAAGCAGCACACCATCTGAGAGGGTGCTTTGTTGAGCAAAAACAGTAATTAAAGTTTACTAGTCAAATTATTTCTCAAAGCATGTTCTGATTTGCTAGCTCTTAATTAAAACTTCTGCTAATAACTAATACAAGTAGTGACACTAGGCATTAGGTTAGAGGTACTTCTCAATGAGCAGATTCTTCCAGGTCAGCAATTTCCCTTATCAGCTGCAGTTGATCTCCCTGTATTTTGTTGCCATCTTTAGATGGTAGCTGAAAAGAACCTCTGGTGGTCAGCTAGACCAGCCTCCTGTCTTACATGGGACACCTTTAAAGCCTTCACAGGTGGCGATTCCACCACCTCTGGCCATTCTGATCCAGTATCGCCACACTCTGCTCCTGGTGAAGCAGGTTTTTGTGACTACTCAGCCTGATGTCCCATGTCACAATTTGTTCTATCAGTCACCCAACTCTGCTGAGAAGAGTTTGGCTGTGCTGTATTTTTAACTACCCTTCAAGCACCTGTAGGCTGTTAGTGAGCTCATTCTTTAGTCTCCTCATTGCCAGACTGAATGAGCCCAGCTTTCTTTCTCATCTCAGTCTGTTCAATAGCTTTCAACTGCTTCTGTTTGCACAAGGAGTTGTTCTCTTAGCCTATTCCCTGTCTTTTCTTCCTGTTTTCTTCAACATATCATAAACATCAAGCTGATTTTAGTCTTCTGTATTATTCCAGTAAGCAGCTTTCCATTCTTGCCTTTCATGTAGGACAACTGTAAAAGACAATTGTTACCAAAATGCTTTGTCACTGAAAGTTTTAGAACCTCAAGTATTTCTTCGTGTTCTTAAAACACTGGAGGGGTTTTTTGCCTAGTTTTATAGAGGATTACTAACTAAGGTTAGTCATTTAAAGCAAGCACACAAAGCATGCGCATCTCAATCAATGGAATAAAGTGACAATGATTTATGCTGCATTTTCTTCATGCTGAATTTGGGTAACTAAATCCATACTTAGCCAATGTGTTTTAAAATTACACAGGCTTCCTACTTCACTCTAGGTATACTGAGTTTGATCTTTGGAGATGTTCAAAGTCCATGGTGTTTATACCCCTTTTAAGCAGGCTGTAGACTTCAACTGCTGCCACATACATAATCTGCAGAACAGGGTGTTTCTTGAAGCTGAGGAGGAAATGAGGCTGCAGTCCACCTTGCTTCTTGCTGCTGTGGAGGTAGACTAAAACCCATTTAACTCACCAATTGCATGGTAGTGAGCATGTGCAAATATGCACTTAGGGATGCATTTGGAGCATTATCAAGCACTGCAGATTTCAGCACCACTTCTGCTGTAGTCAATGCTTCTTCTCAAGGCTCCAGCTTCTGCTATCAAAAGGCTTTATTAAAAGTTTCCATTCCTTCTGCTTGCTGAAAAAAGCTTGAAGTAGTAAAAGGAGCACTGGCTCAGAGAGAAGGGAAATAAATTTTTCATTAGTGAACTATGAAAAAAATGTATTTAGAGACAATTTCACAAGTTAATTGCCATGTCTTTTTTTTTAAAAATAGACAGTTTCCAAAATCAATTACTCCAGGGTAATTGGAAATAATTCTGTGTGACTTTTAGTTGATAGTGCAGCAACATCAGCATTTTAGTTTAGGTCAGAAGTGCGTTATTGAAATGAGTCTCTTGATTGTTCCTACTTACTGTGCTTTAGTTCACATTACAGAGTGATCACAAACTGGACCCTTTAAGATGAAACTTAAACAGGAAGATGTGCTCCAAACAGTGATGGGCATTCAGCCCTGACACCAGGCTAGAGCTTTTCTGGGCAAAACCTCTGAAACACATGCATCACAGGTGTCAAGTTCTCACCAGCAGCCTCCTCGCTCCACAAACAAGCCCCTTATGGCCCACACTAACTGACATGGGTACAGAGAGTCAGTCAGCTCCAACCAGCTATGTCCTGCCATCCAAAACCAGCACAGCAGCCCAGACCACAGCAGGACTGACCAACCAAGACACTACTTGGGTCTGTGCTGGCTCTGAGCAGAGTTCTTGGCACTGCCCTCAGGGAGGGCTTTGAGCAGCACACAAGGTGTAACACTCCTGCACAATGCCAAGTGTTTGCTCAGTCCCCGAGCAAGTTGGGGGCTTGCATACATTTGGCAGGAGGAACATGGATGGTGTTACATCAACCATCCTTCTTTACCTCCCTTCCCAAATTTTTTTTTTTTTAATACTGCACATGTATACACTCCACCACTCTTGCAGTTGTCCTAGTTAGGAAGCCCATATCTTGTTCCCTCCTTGGATGCTCAAACAGGAGAATAAAAATTACATCCAGTAATGGCACCGATTCAGTTACTCACCATCTTTATTGCTGAAATGCTCGATCCTTACAAAAAGCAGCTTCTCTCTGAGCATCGTAGTCCAAATCTGCTTGCTTTTCCTGTTGTTTTTTTGCCCGCTTTTCAGCCTGATAAAGAAAACAGAAGCAAGTAGATACCTAGTTGATACTTGTCAAATATCATGCCTTCCCACTTCTCTCCCCTGTCATACCCCCCACATAAAGGGTACATTGAATAGCTAGGTGAACATCAGCATCAGCTGCTGCTCTTTGGTGACCTGCCCAGAAGATACAAGAGAGCAGTAGTGGCATGGCTGAAAAAATGGCATAAAGACACAGGACAGGATGCAATCTGTCATTGTTGATCTCTTCCTTATTACCAGCCCTCCCAGGTAATCCTCCCCAACCAGCATGGGCCAAGTCAGCCTGGAAGAGGCTTCTGCTCCACTGCTCTGAGAAGAGGCTGGTCCCCAACCTCAGCACCTGCAGTGCACACAGGTTAAAAAAAAAAAACAAAATGCACACATCACACCCACAGCAAGATTCCTCTCTCTCTCTCCTGCCCAGGAGATCTAGTACTATTGGTTTAGATGCACGGGGTTCTTACTGAAGGGGCTGACAGCTCTTCTATTTACCATTTGCTGGATCTGAATTTTCTGCACTTCCATGTTTGCATCACGTTGTCTTTGTTTCTTGGCTTCTTCCATTTCCAGGTAGATACGATCTGCTGCCATCCACTGATTACGATCCTTCTCATCCTCTGCTTTTTCCTCTCTCTCCTTTTCTACTTTCATCTTCATCTGTGTTTTACAAAATACACAAAAAAAAAGTTAAACGAGGAGCTAGCCTGCTAAGCTGGAAGTCATATCTTTTGGCAGAAGCAGCCCTCTATCAGCACTCTGATAAACACAGTCATTGTGACTGGCCAGTGTCCAAGCCCGGGGTTTTCAGCAGCCCTGGCAGATGTGTGCCTGACAAGGAAGTGGGAGAGGGAAAGAGGACCCCAGGAAAGATGTCAGTGGACCTGATGAAGCATGCTGATGCATGGCACCAGAGCCACCAGCTGTGATCTGGGCCAGGCCCCTCAGTTGGAGTAAGCAGTGCAGAGTCTGGAAAATGTTTGCACAAGTTATCAACAATTATAGAGCCTTCCAACTCTTTATTTTTTGAGAGGGGTTCATCACATGTACTGCTTTCACCTTTCTTAAGGAGTTAGTTCTGAAACTATAGACAGTTAATACAAGAGGCAGCTGCTAAGTGAGAACTTGCATGTGTCTCACTGAAGACAACTGTGCTAGAATCTACGGTGTTTCTGAAAGGTATTCAGAAGTACAGGTATATATGACAGAAAGAATAATAAGAACAGGCTAAGTTTCTTACCACAGTGGCTCTGTGTTCAGCAATAGATTCAATGGTAGCCTTTTTTTTTGCTTCCTTCTCTTTGTTTTTCATTTGGTATTCATATTCTACCTCTGCAGCTCCTCTAGCAAGACGATCATCTTCAATTTTGCATGCCTCATTCATCTGTGCAGTTAGTTGTGCAAAAGCTTTGTCCTTATGCTTCTGCATTAGCCTGCAGGAGAACATGAGCTATCATAACATACCAGGATATCCACTCCAATTACCTGAGGCTCTGCTCCTAACAAAGCCAGCAATCCCATTTCCACCCCCAACAGCACCAATTACTACTGGAACTGGCAGGCATTTCTTCTGGACTTTCTACTTCTTTTTCAAATTTTAATTACAGAAAAATTGCTTGCATGACAAAGTTCTGATTCTGCTGATATAAAAATTCAGAGTAACATTTGTCACAAAATTCAATTGCAAGTTTGAATCTTGATCCTGAAAACTGTAGCCCTAGACCCACCTATTAGTCTCTGCATCTTTTTCTCTTGTCAGATCAGCCATCATTTCTTTTCCTTTGATATAAGCCTTAATCCGATCATCATCATCATCTTCTTTTTGTTTCTCTTCAGCTTTAATTATTTTCTGTTCAGCTGCATACTCCTGTTTAAATAGAAAAGTACTGTTATTTTTATGTAGAATCAGATATTGGAAACATGAACTGAAAAAAAAAATAATCTAGCAAAGACTTCAGGCCTAGCCTATGTAAGAGTTCTTTGGTTTTATCAGTGGAGAAGCTATAGAAGATAGAAACCGGGAGAGATTCTCATGACCTACTTACCACAAACTACCACAAAAGTAAAATTAGTGTGTGGTTGCAGCCCCAAGCACAGTATCTTTAAGTTATATTCTTTCCTCTACTGCCCCACTGGCTCCAACTGTTCCCATCCTGTGTATCATTCACACAGCACTGACTCTGAAGGGCTCAAACAGTAAAAGTCTGTAGAACCATAAAAAGTGTAAGGGACAAGGCATTTTGTAATCATGCAGAAATGCCAGTTATGAGTATATATAGCTTTTATTGCATATAAAAGGTTGGGGGCAAATGGGTTATCATTTTTATAATTGAGGTGAGGAAGAATACAGGGGAAAAAAGCAAGTAGGGTTTCAGTGGGAATTCTCTCCTCTTACTCTCTCACATTCCAATGAATCATCACAGTACCTCCACACTTCAGTCTCCCAGCTCAAGCAGGCATGGGGAAGGAACAGTAGGTGTGGTAAGTAGGTCTTGACTAATTTTCTAAACATCTCCAATCATAAAGGGAAAGTCTAGTTAAAGAGATATTGTCATATTCAGACTTGGGCTACTCCCTCTTCCTAACAAAGGAAAATGGGCTTAAAACAGCGCAGGTACACGGAACCTAAATCCCATTTTCAAGTCAAGGACAATCTCCTTGCTGCCTATAGCAAACTTTTTCCATTGTAGACCAGCCAAAGCTCAGGTGCCACATTACAAATTCCAAGAGGCCTTTCTCAAAAGCACAGAGGAAAGACATGGCCTGCAACTCACAAGGTAGGCATGTGATCCAATGCTACTGAAGCTGTCAGCAAACCTCCTGTTGCCAGCACGCCCATTTATTTGTGGGCCTAATGCAACCCTTTCACTCCAGGCAGCCAAGGTGAAACAAGCATTTTGAATTGTCCGCTTTCCTGTTACTTACATGATGCAGCCTCTGGCGTTCAACTTTTTCCTCCTGTTCCTTTTCTTTTCCTCTCTGAATTTCCAGTTGGTACAGTCGGTTCAATCTCTGTATTTGTTCGCCTTCTCTTTTGTCTTCTAGCTTGGCCAGATCTGCCTGATGCTTGTGCTCCTTTATTCTGAATTGGAAAAAGGAGTTGAATAAATGGGCTAGAGACTGTATGAAGTAACGAACAGATATGGCATTCTACATATCTACAAGCACTTTAACAGTGATACTTTGAAGTGAAAGTAGAATATCAGAGATCAAAAACAGAATCATGTTTTTTAAAAGGCAGCTGCAAATCCTTTGGCCAAAGCTCAGTCCTACTGCAAGGGTGCTGGTTAAGCCTATACTAGCAAAAGCAAACATGATCAGCGTACGCACTCTAATGTTAGATTGAATTTGATTAGCCTGTTTAATTGTTAGCCCACCCCCTGTACAAGCTGGACGTTTGCCAGCTAGCCGTCTTCCAAACAGTGCCACAGCACCGTGCAAGACGTGGCCACGGTCATCAGCCCGTGCTAGCGTGGGCTGGGGGAAGCAGCAATAGTGAAGAGTTTTGCCTCTCAGTGCCAGAACGCAGACCGTCTTGTTTAATTTATTAGGACGGGCGTAGCCACTGGTAGCAAGAGACGTTTCTGAAGCTGGAGAACAGAGTTACGGAGGAACCGGAGGGCGAGGAGAGGGGACACGTTTTCAGCCTGACCGCAGAGCGAGGAGGCTCAGAAGCAATGGTTTCAAAGCAGCGAGTCACGCAGCCCCAGCCAGGGCACGACGCCGGCGGGGCTGCTCCCGCCGAGGCGCGGGCGGGGCCCGCTCCGCCAGAGCCGGGCCGCCTCAGCTGGGTTAGCGCCAACTCGCCCCCTCGTGTCCTGCGTCCGCGGCGCGGAGCTGGCCACGGGAAGGCTTTTAACCCAAACCCCGCTCCCCCCCGCCACGCTCCTTAAGGTCCCGCCGCCGCCGGGCAGAGCCCGCCGGACTCACTGCGCCAGCTGCTCCTGGGCCACGGCCCGGCGGTCCAGGTAACGGCCATGCTCCCGCTCTGCCTCCCGGCGGGCGGCGTCCGGCCCGTCGCGGTCCATCGTCGGCCTTTCTCCGCCGCGGGCCGGCCCTGCGCCCAGCGCCCGCCTCTCCGCCAAGCGGCAACGTCTGCCGAGAGAGAGACGGCGGCGGCCCGGCTGTCCCGGGAAGCCGGGGCTCGTTCTTCCGCACACGGAGAGGGAACAAAGGCGGCGGCTGCGACGAGAGGCGCCCGCGGGAACGCCCCGAGCCCCGCTGACGGGGCGAACAGCGGCAGCAGGGGATGAGGGAGGACCGGCGCGCCCGGTGACGCGGCTGTTATAGCGGCTCCGCCCGGCCCAGCGCTCCGCCCCGCCGCGGGGAGCTACCGGCGGGCACCGCCCGTTCCTTCAGGCTGCGAGGGTCGGCCCGGCCCGGCCCGGCTTGGTGGCGGGGTTCCCGCCCTCGCCTTACCTCGGCTCCGTCCGGGTCGGGCGGCAGAGCAGGTCCGAGCAGCGGCGGTCACGGCGGAGGCCCCGTGCGGGAGCCGCCCTCCTCCGCGGCCGGTTCGTGAAATACCCGCAGGCGGTAAGAGGCTGTAGCGTCCGCATCTGCCTCTGTCTTTCTGCTCCCACCTGGGCGGCTTTTCTTCCCGCTGTCGTGGCTCTGCGCTGCGGCGTCCCGGCTCGGCCTGGCTCTGTGGGCTGCCGCCTCTCCCCCGTCACCCGCATCCCGCTAGGCCTGCCTGTAGTTGGGGGCGTTGGAAACTCGCCTTTCTCCGTTACTGACCTCAGAAGGTGGCCCCTGGGCGCTCTTCTGCGGGAGGAGAGCCCTTGGCGGCCCGGGGAGCTGGATGAGGGGGTCGGCCCTCCCCCTCCTTCCACAAGTTCCTCCCTCGCCCTGCCTGGTTTTTCGGGGAGGTGGCTGCTGCACTCGGCGAGCAGTACGTCCATCTTGCATCCAGCTGTTGTACGCCGCAGGGCAGGTAAAACCAGCTCTGCTTGGCCCTCAGCTTGCCGGAGGGACCTCGCCTCCGGGTAGCCATGCGTCCTGCTCAAAACCCTGTGCTTTCTTCAGAGCCATTTGCTATTGGAAGCCAGGCTCGGAAACCTGAAGGCACACAGAAGACCCATTTTCCAAACTGAAATATGGGCAAGCAACCTTTGTACAAAACTCTCCCAATTTTATTTTTTTTAGAACTTGCGTCATTTTCTAGTTTGGCCAACAGAGACGGGCAGCTGCAGGGCTGGAACAGAAGGTTGTGTGCAACAAAGCAAAGCTTCAAGTTTCTTGAGCTTTGTTTCTAGCAGACCCCAGAATAGGGGGATACCCTGTTTAGACCCCAGGTTACTGGTGGAGGAAGTCATTCTAGGAAACCCTAACTCTGTCCAAGGCAGGAACATGGTAGTAAAATTTCAGCAAAGAACCTAAGCTTAAGGAGTGAGATGTGTGTGTGACTTGGGTGTTGGGAAAGTCAGCTGAGGAATCTGAGAAACCATTTTAGATCTGGATCTACTTACCGCAGACTGAATCATTGTTAGTCTTTTTGAAAGAACAGTCCAACTATGTTGTCTCTTCTTGCTATGCTCTTCTTGTACTAGCTATTTATGGCTATGTTGGGACCTATTTGTCTCCTAGGTGACCTTTTAAGGGTTGTGATCAAATCACATTCATATTTTCATATAACTAATTTATAGTATGACATTTGTTTTAGAGGTAGTTGCAAAATGCTGTATAAACTGCAATAACTATTCTAACTTTCACATGTATTAGGTTGTTTTTTCTTCCCCTGGAGATTCTGTAAAGTTGTTACGGGTTTTTTTTTTCTATTATCAGGAATACTTAACTGGCAGTAGGCTAATGAAAAATGTGACCTTTTGTACTGGGAATTCGTATCCCAGGCCTGAAAAACACGGGACGGTGAATTTTTAGAACAATGAATAATATAAGTATAACCATAATAGTGAGCTTTTGGCTGGAATGGGTTACACTGATGGTCAATTACATATCATGCATTCCTGTCTCAAGTTTAATAAGCTAACTTTCATGAAATACAAGCTGAGGATTTTTGAGAATACAACCAGTTCTCTGGCAATCTTTTTTTCTCCAAATGGACTTCCAGATTCATAACATATATTCGATGTAGATCCTTTGCAGCTTAACTCTGCTGGTAAGGTTCAAAAGATATTTTTTTTTAACCACATGAAAACTGCTTCTGCCTTTCCTTGCTGGATAGTCTCAATGTTATTTCATGTTTTTAACTTCTTGAGCAGGAGTACAGCTACAACAAGGTAACTGGCCCCCAGCACCATCCTGTGCTTGAAAACTAGTATTTATTCCTTCTCTTCCTCTGGAAAATGGCCCATGTCCAAGTCCTCTTCCATCTTTGGATGCTTTGAGAAGAGGATAAAGATGGTGTGTAGTCTTGGTCTCTGATTCAATTACTTGCTTTGCATAGCTCTGAAATTCACGCTCCTTAAAAAGCGCAATAGCCTCTCTCTGGATATCATAATCCAAGTCTGCTTGCTTTTCCTGCTGTTTTTTTGCCTGCTTTTCAGCCTGATGAAGAAAAGGGAATAACAAAGCTTAGTATTTCTTTCACAACGTAACTATCCCTTAGAACTTAGAGAGGGTAAAAGCTTACAGGAGATCTGCAGTGATGTTAGTTGATACTTGGCAAATATCATCTCTTCTCTCTCCTGCCCTACCCCCCACATAAAGGGTACATTGAATAGCTGAGTGAACATCAGCATCAGCTGCTGCTCTTTGGTGACCTGCCCAGAAGATACAAGAGAGCAGCAGTAGTACATAATGGCACAGGATGGGATGTGATCTGTCATTGCAAACCAGCCTTGACTTGCACCACTGCTCTGAGAGGAGGCTGGTCCCCACACCAGCATATGCAGAGCACACGTGATTTAAAAACCCCAAACCAACAAACAAAAAAACCCAAACAAAACACAGCAAGCTTCCTCTCTTCCTCTGAGGCAGGAGCTAGTGCTGTTGGTTTAGATGCATGTTTCTTTCTAAAGGAGTCAACAGGATACAGCTTTTCTATTTACCATTTGCTGGATCTGAATTTTCTGCACTTCCATGTTTGCATCACGTTGTCTTTGTTTCTTGGCTTTTTCCGTTTCCAGGTAGATGCGGTTCTTTTCCATTAATGCATGAAGTTCTTTTTTACCCTCTTCTTTTTCCTCTCTCTCCTTTTCTACTTTCATCTTCATCTGTATTTTACAAAATACACAAAAAAAAAGTTAAGCAAGGAGCTAGCCTGCTAAGCTGGAAGTCATATCTTTTGGCAGAAGCAGCCCTCTATCAGCACTCTGATAAACACAGTCATTGTGACTGGCCAGTGTCCAAGCCCAGGGTTTTCAGCAGCCCTGGCAGATGTGTGCCTGACAAGGAAGTGGGAGAGGGAAAGAGGACCCCAGGAAAGATGTCAGTGGACCTGATGAAGCATGCTGATGCATGGCACCAGAGCCACCAGCTGTGATCTGGGCCAGGCTCCTCGGTTAGAGTAAGCAGGAATAAGAACAGGCTAGGTTTCTTACCACAGTGGCTCTGTGTTCAGCAATAGATTCAATGGCAGCCTTTTCTTTTGCTTCTTTCTCTTTGCGTTTTTTTTCTTGTTCAGCTTCTTTTTTTGCAATGTCTTTAGCAAGACGATCATCTTCCCTCTTTAATGCCTCATTCATTTGTACAGCTAATTGGTAAACGATTTTATCCTGATGTTCCTGTGTTAGTCTGCAGAAGAACATGAGCTACCATAACATACCAGGTACACACCTGGGTCTACCTGAAGCATTACTGCTACCAAATTCAGCAATCCTGCTTCTAGTCTTCTTTCCTCTTGCCACACAGGCCAGCCCACCCACCCAACTCCTTGATCTCCTTGTGTTCCCCCTGTTTTTTGTTTTTTTTTTTTAATTATCTGATTTAGCAAATAAATCTTCCCTGTATTCTTGTAACATTAGCTTTCTGTTGCAATGAGCTGGATCACTCAGTGAGGAGTCTGCCTAGCATCTTGCCATCAGGGCAGAAATGTTGGGAGTGTTGGCCAGAAACAGGAAGAGAAAAACTCTTAGGTTGGCTCAATGGTATCATCATGCTGTACCCTCAATGTTAAATTTATAAACCACCTTCCCTTAATAAAAACCCAATATAATCAATACAGGTGCCTAGTTAAGAAGTCAAATTATTTTTCTTTATCTGGCTCAGGGAAATATAGCTTATGCCCAAAAATACTTCATCAAGGATTTTGTCTTTAATTGTTGAGGAGGTGGAGGCTTGGCAGGCCATATGGAAAAATCACTGTTCCCAACACACTGGTGTAGCACTTTGCACTTCTGTAAGTCTTTGTACTTTGAAGGACGGAGAGATTGCTCACACACACACCTATTACTAAGGAACCTGTGAAAGAATTTCCTTTTTCTGCTGAATTCCCTACTCTCCCTATCAATAGAATTTAATTTTTAGAATAACTGTGGTTTGTGTAACATCATCAGTCTGAAAGATTTGAAAATGACCACAGTATAATTTTTAGTTTGTTTACAATTTTTACTCTAGCTTTGTACCTACCTGTGCATTTCAGCTTCTTTCTTTTTTATCAGCTTGGCAATAGTTTCCTTTGCTTTAAAATGAGCTCTAATCCGATCATCTTCTTCCATTTCTTTTTGTTCCTCTACTGCTTTGATTATTTTCTGCTCAGTTACATGCTCCTGCATGGGCAAAATGATCCTGATATAACAGATGAAGTTTAGAAAATCTGGGCCTGGGGTAGCAACTTAAAAGAATCACTTCCTATTCTTTGTGTTTCTTTCAAAGAAAGAAGAGAAGAAAGGGATTCTCAGTACTTCCACTTACTTCTGCCTCCCTGTTCAAAAGTGCATGAAGAGGAGATAGTAGATATGAGGGAGAAGGGGAGTGGAGCATTGAATAGCTGCTTTTCCAGCCCATTACACAAAGAAATTGCTATGCAATGCAATGAGCATTATCCCTTGCTTCCATTCACACACATGGGAGAGGGGGATGTTGAGAGGAATAGGACTGTGCAACCCCCACCAACACACACACAGACTGTTGCTCCTGGCCCACCTCATCTAAAACTATCCCAGTCTAAGAACTTAATCCAAGTCATAGCTGAAGCGTTTTCTATACCGTTATGTAAAAAAACAACTGTCTTTTGCATGCTGGCCAGAACTGTTCTGAAGCGTTTCTAGTTTGCATTTAGCAAGTTGCTTTTAAAGATGAAGAGAGAAGGCAGCAGGTCTTGACTATATTTCTAAACTTCTCCAATCATCCAGGGAAAGTCAAATTAAAGAGATATTGTTAGGTTCAGTCTCAGCCTATTCCCTCTTCCTAACAAAGAAAAATGGGCTCAGAACAGCAGGTATGTGGAACTTAAATCCAGTTCTCAAGTCAAGGAGAATATTCCTTGATGTCTACAGCAGACTTTAATCATAGACCAAAGCATCAGGTGCCAGCGTCCCTTCAGACAAGAGAAGAGACCTGCCTCCAAGAGGCCTGTCTCAAAAGCACAGAGGAAAGACATGGCCTGCAACTCACAAGGTAGGCATGTGATCCAATGTTACTGAAGCTGTCAGCAAACCTCCCATTGCCAGTAAGCCCATTTAGATGGACGAATGCTATTGTTTCACTCCAGGCAGCCAAGGTGAAACAAGCATTTTGAACTGTCTGCTTTCCTGTTACTTACATGATGCAGCCTCTGGCGTTCAACTTTTTCCTCCTGTTCCTTTTCTTTTCTTCTCTGAATTTCCAGTTGGTACAGTCGGTTCAATCTCTGTATTTGTTCGCCTTCTCTTTTGTCTTCTAGCTTGGCCAGATCTGCCCGATGCTTGTGCTCCTTTATTCTGAATCGGAAAAAGGAGTTGAATAAATGGGTTAGGGACTGCATGAAGTAATGAACAGATACAGATTCTGTATATATACTTGCACTGAAGAATGTGATACTTTGAATTGAAGGTGGGCAGAATATCAGAGGTGAAAAATAGCATCATTGTTTGTAATGGTAGCCCTCAATCCTCTGACCAGAAATGAGCTACATGGTATGCTCATAGTTTGCAGTCTAGTGGTAACAAGTTTTATCTGGATGACTTACTAGCACCATTGCATTAATAATGTTCTGGCCTATCTCTGCAGCATCCTCAATGAACAAGATTTCTCCAGTAAGTCCCACCATATCTATGCTTCTCCTGGGCATGCAGGCAACAGCTCAAGCTGGTAGTGTTCTACACTAAGTTTTGCAAGGATTTATGTGTTGGGCCTGGAATATGTGAAACTACAATGTGAACCCTTCCTCTGCCTTAGGGATTTTGATTCCTTCTATCAGACCACCGTGGCCAGTCCTATAAATACCACTGGGGACCCCTCCATAAGGTTTCTGGAAGAGCTGAAAGAATGGAGGTGGCAGTGCTGCGTTCTCTTGATGCATTCCCTGGAACCTAGTTATGGGCAGATGGAAAATCTGGTTTAATCTTTTCGTTTTCTGGAACCAAAACTAAATTAAAATATACTTTCAATAACAACTTTTGAAAAGTGATTTGACTAAAACCTGTTGATGCCTGCCAGAGCTGATTTTACATGCAGACTGTTGGCAACTAAAAGACACTGCATATCACAGCTTTTCCCTTTTGTGCAAGGTCTTTTGTGGCACTCTGCATTTTTCTTTTAAAGTGTTGCATTTGTGAATCAAATTATTAGTAATTTTCTGTAAAAACTTTATAGAATGTATTTGTAAGAAGAGAGCTTAAGTGAATAATAAAGTAGGGTTATTAATTATTACTTACTGTTCCAGCTGATCTCTGCGTAGTGCCTGTTGATTCATATAACACTGATGTGCCTTTTCTTCTTCTCTGAGAATAGCTTCTTTATGTTCATGTTCCTTTTCTTCACCCTTCTTTTTGTTAACATCTGACTTTAACTTTTTAAATTCAACTTGAGCATCTCTTTCTTTTAGGACCTCAGCAAGTAGAAGTGCACTCTGCAAGAGAACATTTAAAGTAATTAGCATGTTCAGAAGCATTTAAAGACATTTGGCACAATTTGAATTTAAAAATTCTAAGTTGTCAACAAACATGCAACCCTTTCACTCTTTCGTTCTGATAGTATAGGTAGGTTTTTGCATGATCAAGAGCCTCCTTCCGTTTTGCTGCTTGGAACCGTTGCTCTTCCAAATCAAGTAACTTTCTTTCTTCTTCTTCCCTTTCTTCACGTAATTTTTTGGCTTTAAGTTTCTGTTGTGCCAGGCCCTACAGTGCAGAGAAAATCAGAAATCACATTTAAAGCTCATGGATTAAAAACGTATAAACCATTCTGAAGGTAATGTACTCAAAGTTTGGGGTTTTTTAAATTTTGCATTTTAGCTTTAATTAAAAAAAAAAAGTGGATGTTAGATGTTAAATGCATTTAAATGGAGTTTAGTTAAAATACATATTTAAAAGCAAATGTTAAACAAAGGGAGTACAGCTAGAAATGTTACTATGAGTGGTTTTGCATATATGAAAACGAATCCCCTTGTTTACAAAGGTATCTTGTACTTACCATAATGGTATTGGGCCAGTCTTTTACAGCAGCTTTGGAGCGTAAGTGCATTTCTTCCCGTTCTTTCTTCTCAGCAAGGATGCGTGCTGCTTCTCTAGTTGTGCTGTCAAGATTGTCCTGAATCCTTTCCCATTCTGCTTTTGGCAATACCATTACCTGATGAAGATCTACTTCATTTGGAAGAAAATAGCCATCCAGAACGTTAATTTCTTCCAAATGATGTGGTGCTGTGCAGAGGGAAGAAAAGATACTGAGGTTACTTGATATCAGAAAATCCTATATTCAAACCTGTGTCAGGATTTGAATTCTTGCATAATAACAATACTAAGTCATCCTCTCCCCATCCCGGTACCTCAGAGCTAAGACAGGGTATCTGTATCTGTAGTCCCTGGCCAGCGCATGTGCTTGGGCTGTGGTGCTGACTGATTTAAATGTCTGTGTGTCTCCTTGCCTGTTTGTGTATAGGTACAGGTTTGGCTTGTGGTAACTAACGCTTTCCTGGCAGTACTTAGGCGTAATTCTGGGAACAGCAGGGACCAGGGAGCGTTCCCAAAAGGAAAGGGAGAATATCGGTAGAGCCATTCTGCTGGCTGGATGAGGCAGCAGTTTGGGCACAGGCTGTGCTTTACCACCCTTGTCCTGTGCACTCATCACATTTACTAAAACAGATGCGTTGTAGAACTGTTTCTTGATTTGTTGGAAAGATTAGCATTTCTTTGTTGTATTCGGCTTACATGCACGTGCGCATGCAAAAATACAGCCTTTTTGGTGATCGCAAGTGTTTGTGAAATGGCCTTCAAACTGTCGCCAGTATTTTTGAAGAAAACGGCGCTCTGTACAGAGCGACGTCCTGTTAGAAATTCTCCTTGTTCATCTGATTTGCAGCAGACTGCCGTGCCGTGTCTAAAATGTAAGGAGGCTTTCTCTTACAGCGATACTGATGTCCAGGTCTGTTTTTCAGATGCAGCTGCTGATCGGTTTGTCTTACGACAGGGACCAGACCTGACCTTCTCCCTCAGCCCGAGGCGAAGGCAGCCTTGCCGAGAGTCGGCGTAGACACACGCGGCTGCTCCCCGCGGATGGGGAACTGCCGGGCGCACAGCTCTTCGCTGCCTTCAGCTGTTGGGTGATGCTGTCTGTGCCTCCGCGGCTTTCAGGTTAGCTCTTCCTAGGTGATTCGTGGGGAGAAACAGCCTGTCTCGCTGTCTGCAGCCGGGAGAGCCGGGGGGAGGTTTGGGGAGAGCCACCCTGGGCACAAGGAGCACCCCTGCAGCCTCCCGGAGCCGGGTACAGCCGCTGCGGCTGCGGGCTCGGCGCTGCCCTCCCCCCGCCCCGGTGCCCGCGGGGAGGAAGCCCCACTCACGGGCGAGCTGCCGCCTCCCGCGGGGGCGCCCGGGCCCG